AAAAAAAAGACAAGATTAAGCCATAAAATTCTACCCAATACCGTCAACTTAAAAATTAGATCGCCTCTGACAATTTTTTGAATGTGGATTCTTATCTCCTTCCCCCCCAAAAATCAAACATTCCATTACACAGTTACTGTCAGAATGACATCTCCATGTCCTGTATCCCTGTGACAGCAGGAGGATACACTAGCACAACAGGCCTTCGAAGAGGCTCGGAGGAGAACCCGAGAGTTTGAGGATAGAGACCGGTCTCATCGGGAGGAAATGGAGGTGAGAGTTTCACAGCTGCTGGCAGTAACTGGTTAGTACTTTCCCCCAAACTCTCAGGCTATGTTTGTGATGTGTGTGTGATGGTTTGTTTTTAAACATGTGACTGTAATTTTGTTTTTCACTTTTAAAAAGGCATGCTTTATCTTTAATTTAATGTGATTGTTATAAACTCTTAATTTTAAAACTACGTGACTTTATTAATCTTTATAAATTAATTTACTCTGGCAAGCTTTATTTGTCTTGTCTTATTGGTCTAGTATCTTAACTCTTTTATTTTAATGGTTATGTTTCATGCTATTGTAAAAATGACCTTTTATCAGAATGTTTTTGGTTATCTTTTAACATTGAAACTTTTTGGGAATGGTGGTGCATTTCATTTGTCCTGTGAATATATGTCTTGGTTTTGTAAAAGTATAATTTTTGGCTATTAGCTTACTCTTTCTATTCAAGGAAAATTTGGGTTTTTTTAACTACTCAAAAACTGGAATTAACAATGACTTTCAAAAATAATCTTTTTATTGTGAAGTAAAACACAGATACAGAAATCTACTCAATAGAAGTATATAGTTTAATGAAGTATTGTAAGGTTAACCCATAAAAATACCTTCCAGGGAAAATGAGCAACTGATATTAGGGGCTAGAGTGGGAGGCAAATGTTTTGAGAATGATGAGGGCAACAAATGTGCATATGTGCTTGACACAATGGATGTATGTATGGATTGTGATGAG